GCGATGGCAGCCACCTGAAGCTCGTCGAGGGGCAATGCTTCGTCGAGAGGCTCATGCCTCTGTTCGGGGAACTGCGTGAGCAAATCTGCTAAAGCCTGGCTCTTAATACCCTGCGGTGCATAACAGGTAATGTCAAACTCCGAAAGAGCTAAAACCAATCGCGATGCCTTCCCTGAAATGATTGGCTTAGAGAGGAGGTGCCGATACGGGTCGCACTTTGTAATCAAATGGATACGATGAGCCATGAAGTAATGCCTAAATTTCTGTGCAGCGAAAACAAGGGCAAGGCAGTGACACTGATGGCTGAATAACGAGCCTCAGCCTCGCGTACAAGGCGATTGAGATAATAGACTGACCGTTCTTGCCCGTCGACTGTTTGCGCGAGAAGGACCCCAATAGACTTGTCAGTTGAAATGAGATAGAGAAGCAGAGGCTGCTCTCTAACAGGTGGGTGCATGGTGGTCGAGGAGGCAAGAATGGTCTTGATCTTCTCAAAGGCTGCTTGATGAGCCGCTGTCCACAGGAATTTGGCATTGCCTTTGATCAAAGTGCTAAAAGGATGAGAGACTTCTGCGAGAGCGAGTATGAACTTACGCAAATATGAAACTTTGCCCAAAAAGCTTTTAAGCTGTTTGAAAGAGTAAGGGCAGGACCTATCTGTGATTGCACAAGCTTTGGTGGGATCGAGGTCGATTCCCTGGCGATGCACCGAAAAGCCCAAAAAATTGCCGCGACGTATCCCAAACGCGCATTTAAGGGGATTCATGCGTAGATTGTACGTACGGCATCGCTCAAAGACGCGACGCAAATCGTGGAGATGATCCTCTCGCCGTTTGGATTTCACAACCAAGTTATCGACATAATCTTCCACTGTGTGATGCAGCATATCGTGAAAGATGGCAGTCATGGCTCTTTGATATGTGGCTCCAGCATTCTTCAACCCGAAGGGCATGACAGTGTAATGGAAATTACCAAGTGGTGTCCGGAGCGCAGTCTTGTGGACATCTCCTTCGGCCATCCGTATCTGATTGTAGCCGCTGTACCCGTCCATGAAGGAAAAAAGTGAATGCCCAGCCGTTGCATCAACCAGCGTGTCAATGATAGGAAGAGGGAAATCATCCTTTGGGCATGCCTTGTTGAGATCGCTAAAATCAACGCAGATCTGACTTTGTCCGTTCTTCTTCTTCACCGGAACAATATTTGCCAGCCAAGTGGGATGTAAGATTGGCCTAATGAATCCTGCAAAGAGCAAATTTTCTACCTCTGTCTTAATCTGAAGCTCGAGTTCAGGTCTATAAACGCGAGGTGCTTGTTTGACGGGCGCGAGCCTGGAAAGTGCTGAGATGATGTGTCACGAGCTGGGGATCAAGTCCTGGCATCTCGCTATAGTTCCATGCGAAGACGTCCGAGAATTCCTTCAGGAGGCAAATAAGGCCATCGCGCAACGATGGGTCCAATTGCGAGGAGATGAAAGTTGCCCGTAGTTCTCGTCCTGCAGGGGCAAGATTGACTTCCTCGAGATCCGGCAATTGCAGTGGCTCCTCCTTTACACTCGTAGGCTCAACAACTGGGCTCGCCAAGGCGGAGCCCGCGCACCATCATAAGCTATAAACATATCGCCCATCTGGCAGCCTTACTCGTTTGCACTTCCGTGGGGTAGCAGCCTCTGCACCGCGACGAGGAACATACGGCTGTGGAGGGTAAAAGATGCCCTGTTGTACCTCCTCCCACTTAGGTAGCGGCATACGAATTATATGCGTCTCTGCTTCTTCATCCTCATCAACCTACTCGTCAAAGAAAAGAGCCTCAGTAAAGTGTGCCTCGTGCTTGGCAAAAGGCTTATCAGAGCATGGAACCGTGATGACCTTATTACCCAAGATGCCTTTAAAACATAGATGGTAGGTAGAAGCTACAATACCGAAACGGTGCATCCACACCCGCCCGAGGAGTACATGATAGGATGTATCAGCCTTGATAACATGGAATTTGGTGGGAGCTCGAAATTTACCAACCGCGAGATCAACATTTACATAGCCGAGGGTCTGGTGGGATTCATTGCCAAAACCATAGACCTCTATGGCTTCTTTGACAAGGCGACCTTGGGGCAAACCAGCTTTCTGAAAGGTGGCCCATGGCATGATATTGATGGAAGACCCGTTATCGAGAAAAGCGCGCCGGAACTCCCTACCATTGAGTTGCGCAGTGACATAGAGTGGATGATTCTGAGAGGTAGATACCCTTTTGTCGGACTCAAAGAAAGAAATAGTCAATGGAGCCTAGTGAGAGGAGGGTTGACTTGACGAAGCGGCTGCGCAGCACTTTTCTTTGCCGTATTGCGCTTGAACCTTTGATTTCGTGGGGTTGGTTTCCTCCAACTCGTCATAATACGTGACCACAGCCATACCGCGATAGCGGGGGTATGGATTGCGCCGTACATCCTTTGGCGCGGTTAACTCGAGATCACCACCTTCGAGCCGTTGCTGAAAAATTCGCCTGAGAGTCCTGCATGCGCTTGTTGGATATGAAGTGGCTTGGTGGAAGATACAGAAGTTTGGACTCGCACGATCCTGCGCGGTCGGCTCTTTGTGAGGGACGGGTAGCACGACTACACCATGGTTGACCCACTGTTCGAGAGTACTGGCAACTTCTTCCATACATACCGGGAATGGGGGAGGCTCATTTGTTCGCTCAGCTTGAGATCCCTTGGCCCTAACATCTGTCTTGCGACGTTTTTTGGCCCTGTCATTGCGAGGAGCAACCGGCGTGTCCTTGCGAGTGACCTGTCCGGCGACCTCTGCCTTGGGAGGTGCAAGATCTTTACAAATGTTTCGTACAGCCGTGGTGAGATCACTGAAGCTGTTGAGACCCAGATTGACCAAGTGAATCCTGTAGGTCTTAGTCATACCTTGTATGCAAATATCAACCAGATCCCTTTTACTGCTACCCTCAAAGCATTCCCTCTCACGGGTTTGGAAACGAGAAATGAACTTGAGGGGCTCCTCATGAGATTCTTGCATTTCTTTGGTAAAAGAGAAAGTGGTAACCCTCTCGATGGCTTGACCAAACTTGTCGTGGAATTTCTGGAAAGTTATTGCCAAGTGGTGACCGAGTCTGGCTCGAGACTACGAAACCACCTGTATGCGAGCCCGGTGAGAGACTTGGAGAATTCTCGCAGGTGTAAGATGTCGTCATGGCTATGCTGGCCTAGAGATTCCACGAATCTTTGCAAGTGCTCATCGGCATCCCCTTTGACGCCATCATACTTGGGAAACTTTAGGATGATGTACCCCTGTGGGTACGGTGTCTGAGCCAGGCTTTTTGGGTACGGAGGCTCCGTACGCAAAACTAACGCATGTGCAGTCGATGGGGCATGCTTCATGAAAAAATCACGTAGCATGGATTCAGTGACATATTCCGGAGAGGGGTTTGCCGGTGGAACTGGTTGAACTGGGGCGGGTTTTGGGGCTGCTTGGGCTTGCGTCGGTGGATACCATAGCGGTGGCACATGAGTAGACGAACTGCCTGGCTGGTTATGCTCAGGAAAGGCCACTCTAGTGGGAGAAACAGTTCTGGCTCGTGCACTCTGCATGATCAAGGCTTCCAACCTATCAAGGCGGTCGTTAAGATCACGGTTGGACTGCAACAACTCCTCATGAACAGAGGGGGCCGCTAAACTTTCCGGCATTGTGACATGTGGTGCACGGGCATTGGAAGCATGTGACGGTGCCTGGGATTGAAAAGGAACGCCACCGCCACCCCCAACAGAGGGCTCTGAATGGTGAGTCGGCATATCCTGTGATTCCATCTGCTTGCACTGATATCCCCAGCGGAGTCGCCAAAATGTAGGGGTTCTTTTTTACTAGGTAATAAAATAGTAATAAAAAGAGATATCAAGAATACAAATACGAAGGAGAACAGAGGAGATGCTCAGTATAGGAGGAGGAGAAGAAGACGAATTAACTAGATCAAGATCGTGGTAGGGCGATTATACAATATAACAGCTTTTCTTTAGTTCGGGAGGGCTGCTCATTTCTTCATAGGACAGTGCCATTTATAGATCAAGATTCCATTTGTCATTATCCAATGGTCCCCTCTATGCATGGTTCCTCTCATGCATCACCCCCAATCCGGATTACATGAATAATCCTGAAGACTTAAGGGGCTGAAGGGTCTAATCCTTTCCTCGAGCCTTGTCCCATGTTGCCATGTCACTTCTCCCTTAATCAGGGGCATTAAATGTTGCTTGGCCGTCGGTTGGTCAAGCCTGACACAGCATTAATTGTGATTTTAAGGTTTGCTATCACAACGTGTATAATCCCATCATCTTGTTAATTGGGCCTTGCCGAGAGCGAAGGCACTTCTTAACTTCTCATCCGCCAATCCAAGATCCTCTTAAGTTTCCCAAACATGGACTCCTATAACACAAAGATCCTACCTCATCTTGTGCTAAGGAGCTCCGATCTTTTAGGATAGTATCGTCTGGCGTAACACCAGGATTTGGAATGCTCGAAGATCGACTTCTCGAGGCTTACCGGGCCTGGAGCGATGCCGAGGCTTAGAGTGCTCGAGATTTGATCTTTCGAGGCTTGGGGGCCTGGAGCGATGCCAGGGCTTAGAGTGCTAGAGATTTGATCTTTCGAGGCTTGGAGGCCTGAAGCGATGCCAGGGCTTAGAGTGCTCGAGATGGGCCAGGAGCGATACCAGGGCTTCGAGTGCTCGAAATTTGATCTTTCAAGACTTGAGGGCCTAGAGCGATACCAGGGTTTAAAGTGCTCGAGATTTGATCTTTCGAGGCTTTTGACTTTTCAACTTGCCACGGAGGGTTTGGCTAGGGTTGTTTTGACTTGTCAACGTGCCACCTCAGCGTCTGATAAGTGACACCCACAGCATCATCCAGAGTATAAGATTTAATCCTTATTTGCATGCCTTGTATATATATATATATATATGTATATGTATATTACATGGGAAAGTAAAGGACAGAAAAAACAAGGCCTTACATGTTTGTGACGTGGCAGACGGTGGTGTTACAATTGCAAGTAACATTGCTAAGAATATCATCGGGGACTATCACATTCAAAACATTACCCCCACTGCAAAAGGTTTGGTTAATGTTCCAGTAATTTATCTGCAGTTTCCTTGATATCGTTTTAAGAGCTTGAACTGTTGCACACAAGGAATTGTGAAAACCGGTCAACATCAATATTAGCAAAAAATTATTACCAATTCCGAATAGAAAATAAAATATTGGTCAGTTTCAATTTCTTAAGAATATTAATTCTATCTGGGAGAACAGCTAACTGATGTGGTTTTCATTGTACCTTTGTTTTTTTAGTTGCAAACAATTTTTATATCATCTTTTATTATCCAAATTTAAACTATCTTTGAATGAGATTTTTAGGAGTAGATTAATTACAAAATCAACTGTTAATGCTATTTGTACAAAATAATAACACTTAGACTCAAACTCGTGTTCTTAATCCATGTTTATCATACTTATTTAATGTCACTAGGATTCTACAGTAGATTGATGAGCATAGCACATTATCCTGTGACTTCATTTGACCTAATCATTCCAATAAACCAAAAATAAAGACAATACAAATAACCCTCCAACCTAAAAAATAAAGGGTTAATTTCATTCACACTCCTTTAGGTTTGGCCATTTTTCACCTTCAAACATTTTTCAAAAATAACTATCACTCATATTACAAATTTTTGTTCCGTTTTTCACTAACAACCCAAACTTTTGTTCCGTTTTTCACTAATTTCAACAGTTCTGACATGATTTAAAATGACTTAAATACCTTTGACTTTGTCAAAACGACATTTTATCCTAAAATAAATAAATTAAAAGACTAAAATGTCCCTAATTTTTCTGTAAATTTACAAATTATATATACACACACACACATACGGAGTACATATATATCTACACACACACACACACACATATATATACACACACACACACATAGCACACAACGCCGTCAGCAAGCACCACACCACTGGTCTACCAACACAGGCGGCCGCAGCAACACCACCAGACCCACCCTCACCCTCACCCCCACAACCACCACCACCAGACCCACCCTCACCCCCACCCCACAACCGCACAGATCGCGAATCGACCGAGGCGGTGATGTGGCTTAGGCACGATCCGGAAGCACCACACCACCGGTCCACCACCAACACCACCGGACACACCCTCACCCTCACCCCCACAACCACCACCAAACCCACCTTTACCTCACCCCACAACTGCACAAATCGCGAATTGACGGAGACGGCGACGTAGCTTAGGCATGATCCAGAAGCACTACAGCACCGGTCCACCACTACACCACCGGTAGTTTCTCTTTCATTTCATAAACCTGTTCGATTGTTGAACGAATCTTGAAGATGCCAACCAAGATGATGACAACGTTAATAGCCCTTGCTACAGAAGCCACCAAAGATTTGGATTCAGGTGCCCGGAAGAGGTGACCAGAGTGTCCATAGATTGATTGAAAAGGCCTCCCAACAAGCACCTCTTCCACCACGTAAACAGAGACATAAACCTATTCATTTTCCACTGCTCATTCATTGGCTCTGAGAGGCAATTGTATACATTCTCTCTCCACCAAGGGCGAATCCAGGAATTGTCAATGAGGGGCTAGTATTGAACATAAATTTAATTACACAATTTCATAAGCAAATTTTTTTTGAATGGGTTAAAAAGGGGACTAATACTACTATTAAAATTTTTTTTTAAAAAAAATTAGGCTGAAAATACAATACTAAAAAAATTTTTTTTTAGGCGGGAAGGGGGGCTTAAGCCCACCCAACTCTCCACCCATTCTTTTCACCGCTCAATCTCACCACCGACACACATAAACCTGTTCGTGGCTCCAACTTCTACTTCGCCGCGAAATGACCTCTGTTTTAGCATTGATCACAAAATGATTTTGCATAATGTCTTTTTAGGGGCAAATTTGTCTTTTAAAAAAATTAGGGGCAAAAATGTCTTTTTATATATTTTTTACAAATACTGTGACGAAAAAACGAGAATGAATTTAATGCTATATTTGGTTGGAGGGATGGATGAGGCTTTTCGTGTTTGATTGGAGGGAAGGGAAGAGATGAAGAAACAAGGAGGGATGCTTTATCCCTCATTTCTTCATGTTTTTCTATCCACCCAATTTTGGGGGAAGGGAGGAGAGAGAAAATGAATAACTACCATCAATATGTAATTTCCAATTTTAACCTTTTCAAAAAAATTCAAATGGATATCTACTTTTTATTATTTTATACAGTGAGGATATATTGGTAAAAAAATATAAAAAATCTCTTTCCCTTCCTTCCAACCAAATAAAAAAAGTATCACCCTATCTGTAACGGGTGGGCGCTTGCCCATTTACCCAAAAGCTCGAACTATTGGATAGTGCTGCATACCCACCCATTTATACCCAATCACTTTCCCATCTGATTCCGATATGGGACAAATGACCCTTGTTACATTCTCCCCCACCCAAACTAGCAACGCCCTCGTTGCAGTTCGGGCCACCCTGCCTACCCGGGATGCTAGCCCGAACGCCTTCCGGGCCGGGTGCTTGGCGTGACACCGGATCAAGGACTGGGTCTGGCTCTGATACCAACTATAACGGGTGGGCGCTTGCCCATTTACCCAAAAACTCGAACTATTGAATAGTGCTGCATACCCACCCATTTATACCCAATCACTTTCCCATCCGATTCCGATGTGGGACAAATGACCCTTGTTACACCATCCATCCTTTCTACTATCCATTCCATTCAACCAAACAAAAAATGGAGGAGACACTTTTCGTTCCCTAGGGATTCCTCATCCATCCATCCCTCTATCTCTTTCATCCATTTTTCCATCCTTCCAACCAAACAAAGCATAAGTGATAATTATTGGTGTTGGTGAAATTAACACAAATAAATGGCATCACATTACATATGTATGCATGTAATACTATATAATAATTTAATCTTAACAGCACGGCGGTGAGGTAGATAGGATCTAAATCCCATCATATTCCTCACTTGTATATAACACTCGCACAACATATTTATATAAAAAATACAACACTCAACATATTATATCATATTACAATTTATAAAGCCATTAAATTAAGAATTCAACAATTTTACATAATTATTGTGTTGTTAATTTAAAATTATTGCATTAACAGTTTAAAGTTGTCGAATTAGAATTATTGTGCCTCGATTCAAACACATAGAAAGGACACGGGAATCAGAAAAGGATCCTGATTGAAGATAAGACCAAAGGTGAAATAGGTCCGTCACACAGTAATGTTTTGACCACAATAGAGAGTATCAACTATTTAATATTTATTTATGCTTTCCTTTTAGGATAGTAAAAAATATTTGATATTAACCTGTTGTCAGAACTATTTATGCAACACATGCTTAATTAATTCATCTTGGACAAGTTAAAAAAGTTGGACGGCAGCCAAGTGGTGGATGGTTCTGTCATGCCATAATGGTAGGCATATTATATTCTGAAAGCAGTATGATTCTCCAAATGAAGCACCAGTATGATTCACCATATTTTCTATCTTTAATACAATATGCATCTAAGTGTCGCTATTCAAAAACTATAAGAACTAAGAAGCAATAAGCAGAACTAACATAACATGATCTTTAGGGAGGTTGAGTGTCTAGGGATAATATTGTGAAACAATGTTAAAAAACAATCAAGTAACTGAAAATATGATGGACACTGGACAGGGATTAAACTGTAAAATCACATTTGAACTGACATTGTATCCAGACATACACACGCAACACAAAAATAAATAAATTAATTAAATAAAATAAAAAATAAATGTGTGAGTGATCTTGGCTGCAGATGATGTATCCAATCAAATATTCAAATTGACCCGGACTGCTTGAGCACAGGGACAAAAAAAAAAAGAAAAAATTACAGAACCGGCTACTGATGTGGACTTCACAATGAAATTCATTTGATAAAGACATATTAATAGTAGATTATTAAAAACGATATGATATGCTTTTTTGTTTTTTTATTTTAGTCACTAGCAAGTGATGTTACTATTACACAATTGCAAGTAATTTTAGAAAATTCTACAAATATATATATATATATATATATATATATATATAGAACAATAAATTCAATAATAACATAATAAAAAATTAACTAGTGACAACTGACTAGGTGTTTTGAATTTTGAGTAAATACGCATGCTAGAGATCAAAGAAGCACGTCCATTAATTAAAGTCTAAATCAAAGGAAAGAAGAGATTAAAATATGGATAAAATCTAGAGTTGCACAAAATCAGATTGGTTCGGTTTTTAATTAGAATCAATCCCCTGCCAGCAGCTGTTCCATAAAAGATAAAATCTGATTCAAACCGAATTGAGCATCAAAATTGAACCAAACCAAATGGTTGCAACTTTTCTATTTGACTTCTCTGATAACAGCCACTCCCCGTAATAAAGGATTGCAACATATTCAATTTTCATTTCTATCATTTCAAACATAAAAAATTGTTCCCAGCATTTATAACAATAGCATAAAATTTTCAAATAAATAATAGCATAATGTGATGATATCAACATTTGCAATAGCACCATAAATAAAATCACAAAACAATCAAATGATGTCAGTTAAAAATTTCATAAAAGGTTCCACGAAATATTGAAGTGTAATCTGAATTGAAAAAAATTAGAGCACAAAAAGAAAAAAATGAAAATCGGACAGGACCAGATTTTTTTCCCTCTTAATCTGTAACCAAACATATTTAAACAAGTTTATATATATATATATATATATATATAGAATTGGTTGGAATTGGATCTGGGTTTGAACATATTCGCAATAAGTAACTGCAACCACAAAATGGATTAACCTTACAGAGTTGGGAATAGAATTTGTACCTTCTTGTTGTGGTAGAAGTTGACAGACGGATCTGAATTCAGTACAACAGTTGAGAAGCAGAGATACAAAGAGAATATGAGTGAATATTTTCTGGAAAGTCGTCGTTGTGATGAAGACGGACTCCATCTACTCTGCAACTCCAATTCCTTCGGTTCAGAAACAAACGGAACCGTTGTATACGAACACGACGGAAGAGAACGGCACTACACACCACGCACACTCACGAAATGTGTGTGTGTATATATATATAGAGAGAGAAAATATGGAAA